AACATGGGAGTGTCTTAACGGCATGATTCATGCGGAGATCGACCATATGCTGACAAATAGAAGATGGTGCCTACTTGACGCATCGGTGGTTCCGTCATTTTGTACTGGTTCCGACCACCGCCTTCTTCGCGCGAAGACTCGATTCAGCCACAAGCTGGAAAAAACCTCTCTTCATCGACCACGAAGAAAAGGTTCAACTGCATACGACGAGTACATTCTGAATGAAGTTCTACCCAAAGGTGGCAGATTAAAAAAGACCTGACCGAAGACTACGAGTTACTTGTCGAAGGACTGAAAAGCTGTGTCAAATTCGCCTCAATTTCTCAAGCGACAAGATCGGATCGCGTCCCCATCACTACTAAGGAGTTGCCCGGAAAGAGAAGAAACTTGATCATTCTGCGACACGTTTAACATGGCTAGTAATAAATGCCAGCTGTAGAAGAGCTTTGCAGGAAGATCTGCATCTGTGAAAGCAGAAGAAACTACAGGAAGCAGCATAGTAAAGAACCAGCCTAAAAAATGCCGTCGGGACTTGTGCGATTATAATGTTTCGCTGTCTGCCCTGATGAACGAGGACGGGATCGTCAAATCTTTTCGCCATGATATGGAATTAATAGCGAAAACGTTTTACGCCAACCTTTTCAGCTCCATATTACTCTTTCAGACCCTAATATTCCCGCTGGAAAAAAACCACTTAAAATTCTTCCATCGGAGGTTCGAGTTGCGATAGAAAACACGAAAAGAAGCACAGCTCCGGGACCCGATAGTATCAACGCCGATTTCCCCAGAGCTGGAAACTACAATATGCACGTCCTTCTGGCAAGCCATATGACAGCCTACTTCAAAAAAAACCCCAGACCAGGGAAAGACGTTGCGCACAGTCATTCCGTCCAAGAAAGGAGACCGAAGCGATCTCCGTAGCTATCGTCCGATATGCTTGTTGAGTGTACTCTGCAAGCTCTTCGTGATGATTATCTTCTCGCGCATATCAAGGACATTAGATGAGGCGCAACCAGTCGAGCAAGCGAAATTTCGAAAAGCATTTTGCTGCATGGAGCACATTCAAACCGTGTCCAAGGTCATAGAATTTTGTCGGGAATACCACTTATCTCTAGTCCTAACTTTTGCCGACTATGAAAAGGCGTTCGACTGTGTCGAAACGAATGCAATCCTATCAGCGCTCGTCGACCAAGAAGTGGAGCCGTCCTATATAAAAACTCTGTCCAACTGTTATCGGAACTACCCTACGAAAACACAGCTTTTCCATCGAGCTCTTACAATACCCACCGGAAAAGAGGTTCGACAGGGCGACACAATATCGCCAAAGCTGTTCAGTGCCGCACTGCAGTGGACAATGAAGTCACTCGATTGGGATGAGAAAGGCATACGTATTGAATTGGATATTGCTATCAAACCTTTGTTTTGCCGACGGCATCGCAATCTTCTCAAGAAGTACTAGCAAAGTAGAGGCGATGATCAAAGGGCTCATCGAAGCGGGAAAAAGATCGGACTGCTCATAAAGCGGAAGAACCCCCAGTTCATGAAAAACCCACGGTGCCAAAGCGAAAAAATTGAAATGAATGGCTCTCAGATTGTAGAGACCACCTCGTATACCTTAGGTGCTTAATGAACATGAAAAACAACATGAGGGAAGAACTACAAAGAAGAAGGAGAGCAGCTTGGGCCACATTTGGGCCTCTCAAAGATGCCACCGAACAACTGAAGTACCCGAAAACCTGCGCTTATCTTTTCTATTCTACGGTCTTTCCGGCGCTTTGTTATGCTCCACAAAAGTGGGTTGATACTTCAACCACGTCAAGAATGCTTCGCACTACTCACAGAGCGCTTGAGCGATGTCTTCTGAAGTATTACGGGCACTCTCAATATCTAGTCGGAATGCGTAGCTCTGACCTTCGAAATCTGTCACATCTTCAAGATCCAGGAGAGAACACATCTATAGCGAAACATAGATGTGCTGGTCACATAACGAGAAGAGCCGACGACAGATGGATGAAAAGAACAGCAGAGTGGACTCCAAGAGAATGCAAACCTCCCCTTGGACGATCACCTTTACGTTGGGCGGACGTGTTCGTAAACAAAGCTTATCAGCTGTACCGGCAGCTGCAGTTGTTTTACAGATCATGGTATGAGACTGCACGCGCTAGCATGCTCGAACAAGACCACCACCATGGACTGCGATTGCGAGAGAAACAAACGAATGGCAAATGTAGAGGAATCCGTACAACTCGTGAAGACGGACCGTCCAAGTATCCAAGTCAGTAACTTAACAAAGGAAGCAGTTTTTTAGCAACTTTTGAATTTTCCATATTTATAAAAAGCTGTCATAGGTTTTCTTAATATTAACCGAGTACGTTTTTCTTCATTCAAAGATGAGCTATAAACGATTATGCAGATAAATTATACAAATTCTAAAAACAGAGAATATCTATGATTAGATTTAACTGCTGAAGACTCTGAAAAAATGTTCATAGACAAGATTTGCTCAAAAGCATTATGGAAGAGATTTCATCGATACCAGCAGAAAAAGTCTACACTGAGCAAACGAAAGGAAAAGCGTATAGAAATGTCGCCGAAGTCCTCGCGAGCACAACATTTCGCTCTTTCGTTGTACAGTTCCCCTTCCACGATTTTTCCTTTCAAAACGAGTTTTGAGCTCTTTTATGGTGCTTTTTGAGCATGAATCAGAATGTTATTATAATTGTATAATAGAATCTCGTGAAAGGTGACACTTTGATCCAGTACAAGTGGCATGTGTTTACATCCCGAGATTAGATTAAATTTTTTCCTCTGTCTCTCTCACTGACATCGTAGGCATCAACTCCCGTCGGTCAAAGCAGTAATGTTGGTAATGCCTTAGTTCCTCAGTTTTCTTTTTTTCAATGCAGATATAGTCGTATTAAAGAAAAGTTACAGAAAAGAAGGAAGACAAGAGTGTGTGTATTTGAGCCTCTCGGACAAGTTACTATTTAAATTTTTTCCTGCGGAGAAGCAACCAGCGGATCCGCGATAATCTGCCACAACTTTTTGGACTCAGGGATGCTCCCAGTGCTTTGCTGCGAAACGGAGACGTGGGTTGATACCTCAACCAGGTGTCAGAAATACTGCAGTCCAGTCACAGAGTTTTTGAACTGATATCGTTTGAGAATATTCACAACCTTAACCCTTTTATTTACTGCCTTTTTCTTTTTAATAGCAGGGTATGTTGCGAAATATAACTCGTATATAATGCTGAGATATTTGCAAAACTCCGAACCGCAGGTGTATGCAGTGGAAAACGAACATGTGCTGTTGTCCTCAGCGATAGAACTAGCTGAGAGACAGGGAAAACGAAGGACTGGGATGGTGTGGTGGTGAAGTGCGCTGCTCCCCTGTAAGGACAACAGCGCGTGTTCGTTTCCCACTGCATACACCTGCGGTCCGGAGTTTTGCAAATATCTCAGCATTATATACGAATATTCACAACGTTAATCCGAAATGCTCAGCTCACATCTTCGGAACCCTCCCCACATTCGACATCTAGAATATACATCGATAACGAGGTAGAGATGGGCCGATGACATAGCAAGAAGAGCAAATTACAGAAGGACGAAAATAACACTACAGGAGGATTTAAGCCTCTTCTTACCGACCACATAAATGATAGGTCGATGTGGTCACCGCTAACGTCAACCATCTACATCCGCATATGGAAATGATTTCAGAATCTCTGGATGGATGCAGTGGACGCTACCTTGTTCGAAGCAGACCACTATCATAGACGAGGACTGTGGGAGAAAAAAACGAAAGGAGTATATTCTGAATCCCACATTACATTTTATGAAACGATGTATCGATGTATCTAACGAAAACCCTGTCGCTTCTACCGCTTCTACTCACCTATGTGGATTGGCGGAAGATATACTTTTTTATAATTTTGCGCCCGATAACGGTAATTTCAAACGTTGGCTTACAAGGATACAGGTGACGCCTTTCGAGTAGAAGATATAAGAAAAAACACTAGTTGAATATAATCTATTGATTAACAGCAAAATTACCATTCCTTCGGAGTATGATAATTAGTGCAAGAGATATCTGAGATGGGATCAATCTCTCCAATTTATGCTAAAACTCTCTAGCACGGCCATCACAAGACTTCAGGCAGAATAGACAAAACTAGCGTTTAGCGACATTCATAAGGAAGACAAAATTTTCAAGAAATTTTTCATTTTTTTTTTCAAGAGAAAAATTTTCAAGAAATAGCCCAACCAGTATGCAACTCTGAAGACATTCATGGATTATACCATACCAAAAAGCAAATCGAATGGAGGAAATGCTGAGATCCGTACATGCTTCAGGACGAATCTTATAAAAGAAGAGGAAAAGAAAACACTCTCATGGACGAGCTCAATTAGGGATTTTGAGGGCTTTTTGATTGGTAGAACGGGAATGTTTTGTATTGGTTCGTGCTTCTAGTAGGCGTCCAAAAAAAGTATTGCAGGCGAATTCAGATAAAACAAAGCCACAACGTTGCTGAGATATTTGCAAAACTCTGGACCGCAGATGTCTATGGCGGGGAACTAACGCGCTATTGTCCTTTAAATAGTTTAAAAAATTTAAATTTAACTGGGTTTTATGCAGATTTGGGCGCCCCAGATCAATCCCGATGACGGGTGATTGCTGTGGCAAAGATCGATAGAAATAGCGGAGAGACAGGCGAAACAAAGGACCCGCATGGTGTGGTGGTGAACACTTTAGTCCCCTGAAAGAACAATAACGCGTTCGTTCCCCACTATAGACACCTGCGGTCCAGAGTTTTGCAAATATCTCAGCAACGTTGTGGTTGTGTTTCGCTTAGTACCCTTCCGCGAAATTATAGTAGGCAGAAAATAAAAAGATAAAACAAAGTTAGTTATATATTTTACAGTTAATAGAACGCTCACCTATGTAGAGGAAGTTCCATTCTCCCAATCACTTGAGTGTTCATCCCAAACGCACCCGTCTCATGTACTGCCTACGAGGGGTATACGTACCAAAATGTGAAGAACGCAAATAGAAAACATTATAGCCGTTTTACGAACCTCAACCTCTAGAGAGATATCGCAGAGTGATCGTTTTGGAACTCCAAACGTAAGCGATTCATTAAATTGTGCATTTCGCACGTTTCTCCTTGAGCCGGTCTTCTTTCGTTTTAATCGCCTATCTTCGTTTCCGACAAGTGTTACCCGGATAGAAATTCCTATAAGCTATCTATTCAATGACTCATGAATCACATAGTTATGAAAAATTTGACAAGTCTCTGTGAAATATTGCAGCATTAAAATTTTTTTTTACAACGATCTGGTTAAAATTCTGCTCATATTACCTCCGTCGGTATGACACCGAAGATTTCGAACTTTGAATATGTTCATAGTAAGGCGCTGTGCTTGTGAGAGATATGTCAATGAGAACAGTACCTCTCCAAATCCCGACTGAAAAGTTTGCTTAAAATCTGCTAAGCCTCAAAGACCTGAAAAACATCGACTGATGTTCAACTTAACAACTTACTTTTCCATTTTCGTCGTACGGAAGCACTTCAGCCCAAAATACGGTGGGATTGTTCTTTTCAAGTGAAACACTTATTCGGCCGAGTGTTAACCAGCAATATCCGACACACTCATCGACGCTAAAGTGCGGTAATATGAAGCTCACTAAAAGAGATAATGAACATGGAATAAGATTCTTAATTGTCCATATAGATAGAAGAAGCATGCTGACAGTGTAAGTGAAATCTTCACGACAATTTGTGGCCATGAGTTTACACTGTACAGTAAGCTCACTTCTTGATTAAAAATCTTCCGTATTTAGTTTACAAGTATTATATTTATTATGAATTGATATCCTCGAAAAAAATTTGTACTTTATGAGACAATGTGACGCATTCTATGGAGCCAACTGGAAATTCATTAAGGCATCGAACCAGTGAAGTACTTCCGAACCCACGATGCTCTATGGCCTGAAAACTTTCCGTAGATATATTTCATGATAACGGAAGCACCCATCCGATTAGATTAAAGATTGTTTAAAAATGATAAGCGTAGCTGATCATCTGTGAAGTATTCGAGAGCTCAAAGTTAGCCACTCAGCAGTCGCCCACTATTTGAAAGACAGTGGAAAGGTGAAAACGCTGAACAAGTGGATAGCAGAGGAATTTAACGGAAAGGGATTTTCGAGCAAAGTTTGCTATGCGCAACAACAACCACTTATTTCTGAACATGAGTGGGCACGATGTTCACTGCAGTGGTTAGGCTGTGCACCTCCTGATCATTTTCCGAAGCAGAATTTATGCTATGAAATTACTACCCGCAACGCGGACTTTTCACTAACCGCCCATCGATTTTTCGAGAATTTATGGAAGTATTTCCTGAGAAAGTCACCAAATTTTTAGAAACAACGTTGTCCTTTTATCGGAAAGTGGGTTATGAGTGAAAATGCAAAACCACAAAGAGAAACGCCATGATAAAGGAAGAGCAATGGAATCCCGAAAAAAATTTGCATTCTAACATTCTAACGTCTCCCATTTGGAGAGAATAATATCTCCTTATTAACGCTGCTATGAATCAGCGGATAAGAATTCGATAATGAAAAAAACGTAGACTAAAGGCGAATTTCGCACTTGCTTAAGACGCGATGGATCGAGAGATCACCTGTGTTAGTTGTAGTAAGCGTTGTTCTATCGATAGTCGGCCGTACGAAGAAAACGTGCATGCACTGGCCGGTTGATGGACGCAGAAGAGCTTCTCAGTTTGAGACTGCTAATCGTCTTCTGCTTCTCCAGAAGAAGCAGTTCCTGAGGGACCTTATAGCGAGAAAGGATAATTAGGTGCTCTATCTTACTGAGCTGTTTCTGCAGCTAAGAGAATAACATCTGTGACATCAGTCGTGACTGAAAGCACACATCAGCAGGGTTCGTATGTGCAGCTTCTTCAGTTGGAGTGAAATATACTATTTTAAAATGCCTCCAGACAAAAAATGAATCAATGCAACTATCTATAAAAATGGATTTAACAGTGGACAGTTGCTGATTAAAAACAGCTCGAGTATTTGTATTCAAAAGTGTAGTAAAGCGCACGTCGTTGTGACGATTCGTCAAAAGCAAGAACGCCTAATGACGTAATATTTACACTGAAAGCAAATCGAAGCGAAGCTTTTCTGCATGTATAAACCAAAAAATTAACTAAAATAAACCAGTAAATTAAAAATCATTCATTTATTTAGTCTCATGAAAGAGTTAATAGCGAAACTTAGTGGTATCACCGATATCGTCATAAGAGAAGATGGATTCACTCTGTCAGATCCTAGAAGATGTTCTAGTTTAAAGCAAAGAGCAATAAGCAGGTAAATTGCTTTTGGTTTTTTGCTTTAACTGATGTTCTGACCTTGGTACGGTCTGGATTGAAACGTTACCGGCACACAGAAGGTTCAGGGGGAGTAAACGGTCTGGATCTCCGAACGTTAGTCTAGGGAAAATCAAATAAATCAGGCCAAGCAAATAATATTAGGTGGGTTCAGAGTATTATGAAAAAGTTCTGGTGACAAATGGAGGAAACAAGAGCACGGTGGATTTCAGCACATTCTCAAGCACGATCACTCATAAGATTTACAGACGTGTTCGTGACTTTCGTTAACAATCTACCCACGCAGCAGGAAAACATTATGGATTACGGAATACTCCCTGAACGTCATCATGATCAGACAGATCGTCACCAAAGACGGAGAACGATACGAAAAGAAAGGTGCAGAGGACCGTACTAGCCATGAGCATCGTCTATCCAATAGTCTAAATGCCAAGTGATGTGCTCAGTACATTAGTTAAACTGGTAGCTATAAGTGTCATAGTTTGAATTACATAAAATGTAACTACCTGATCAGTCTTGCTAAATTTTATATATATGCATATACAGTCAGCAGTCAGCAGTCACCTGTCATCTCGTTAACTGTCGAGTGACTCCAGCAAGCGTTATTAAATCTTCCGTTTTTCCTGAACGGTGAAGGGGAGTTCAGTGGGTCTTGCTCAATTTAGAGACTCGTCAAGCGCCAAACTTTCTTCTAGGCTTTTCGCGAGAAACTCTGACCATCGAGTCGGTGGTCTTCTTGCAGTCCGTTTAACATCATGACAAATCCAGTCACTAACCACTATTGTTCATCAGTTGTCGTTCATACGCATTACGTGTCCGGCCCGCCCTATCTTCGACTGTTTGGCGTACAGAACGGCATCTTCGATTTTTAACCGTTGGCGCAGGTCGGAGCTTCGGATTTTTTCCTTTAGTTGTGCGAAACGGAATACTCCCATCATCGTCCTTTCGACTGCGCTTTCGATAACGCTGAGTGATCTCTCATCCGGCTTACACAGCGACCAGGTTTCTGACGCATACGTTAGGGCAGGAAGCACGTTAAGTCGAAAAGGTGAGCACGGAGTCGGTTGTTTTTTGTTCTCTCCACTACATTCTCGATACACTTGAAAGCTCCCCAAGCCGCTGGTTTCCTTCTGCTCAGCTCTGGAGCTAGGCCGTTCATCATATTGATTCCTCGACTTAGATAGGCACAACTGGAGGATTCGGAGATATTAGTTCCGTTGAGCGTGAATGGACATACGGAACCAACTCGTTCCTCATGGCTATCGTTTTTGTGAGAAATAGTCGAAGACCAATTTTTCCACAGGGTTTACCAAAATCGGCAAGCATACGCTCCACATGGCATATTTGGTGTTATAAGGTGGATCTCATCAGCAAAGCGAAGATGGTGCAACTGCAGTCCATCGATTTTCATTCCCACATTATCCCATTCCGATGTTCGCATGACGTTCTGGACGATGGCGGTAAATAATTTTGACGAGATGGTGTCGCCCTGTCTAACCCTTCTCTTGATAACAAGGATAATATCATTGTAGAATGGTAATATCTTGGTTGTGAGATTGCTGTACAGCTAACAAAGAATCTTTATGTACTAAGTGGAGACTCCTTGACTATCAAGGGCTTCTAAGACTGCTTCTATCTCAACTGAATCAAAGGTCTTCTGTAAGTCGATGAAAGTGAGACAGAGCGGTCTTTTGTACTCTCTCGAAACTTCAATAAGCCGTGTTACCGCGTGGATGTGGTCCATCGTACTAAATCCTCTTCGAAACCCTGCTTGCTCACATGGCTGTCCTTCGTCCAGTTTTCTGTCAATACTGTTTAGGGTGACTCCAGTAGAATGTTTGTAGACGACAGACAGTAAGCAGATTGGGCGATAGTTGCCGATATCGTGGAGGACTCCATTCTTGAACATTAGCACGGTCTTGCTGGTCTTCGTTGAATAGGGAGCTTGCATTCAGACAGGTGACGTGTGAAGAGCCGAGCCAGTGTGTTTGCGAGGAATGGCAGACGCTTTCTCGGGTGTTCTGGTCTTATCCTATCCGGACTTGGTTCTGTTCGATTTTTTACCGGCGAAATGGATTGACGGATTTCAGAAGGAAGGACTGGTGGTACACTATATCCATCCTGCTTTATTTCATATGACGAAGGGTGGACGTGGCTATCGAAGAGATTTGAGTAGTATTCGTGAATGATTTTCTCCTTTTCTTTCCGGAAGCAGTAACTATTCCGTCTGGGCGACGTATTGCAATCATCTTGGTCTTGTAATTAGCGAAGCTTCGGTGGGCTTTGCAAATGCTTTTTCCAGCCTTTGCAGCTTCGACCTTTACTGCTGCTCTTCTCTCTTTAGGATGTTCTTTTATCGCCTGTCTGTATTGTTTCGCAAGTTCTGACATTAGTTCGCGGCTGCCTGCAGTTCGTGCGATTCTACACTGGTTTATCATCTCTAGTGTTTCTAGAAGCAAACGTCTCTTGGTGACTTTCGAACTCTGAGCTTTCATAGCGTTAAAGTGAAGATGTTGAATTAGCCGATCGTATTCTTCGTCGATGTTATCGACAACGGCATCTTTCCAACAGCGGACTAATAAATTTGAATAAGTCCCAGTTTATTATGGTTCTCGGTCATCTGCTTTTGAATTTACCGGCTTTTCCTCCTTTCCACGAGAAATAGAATCTTGAACGAAGAAGACGATGGTCGGCTCACGTGTAGAATTTTGAGACAACAGCGACATCGGTTAGGCAAAACCTTCTATTTACTATGCTGTGGTCTATTTCGTCATGGCACTCTCCATTGGGAGACTCTCACGTCCAGTGCTGAGCCTGGGGCTTCTGGGTTTGCGAGTTACCATGGATTGTCATGGTTGCCATGATATACTCAGAGAGCCGGCCGTGCTGTTTGTTCTATTCTAATCCGTTGGTCCCATTGTAACATTTTTCAGACGCTTTTTTAGATCAATGTTGACGTTGAATTCTCCATTGATGACCACGAAGAATGTGTGGCCATCTCTGTAGAACTTCTCCAAGTCCATTTAGAACGCTTCGACTTCTTCTTCGCCATAGTTTGATGTCGGCGCGTAAACGACGAACATTGTCAAAGCCGGTATTGAACTAAGCTTTTTTAATAGTAAACGTCCGATTCAGGTTGTTAGATGTCCGAATGAATCGATGTTCATGGACAACCTCGTGTTGAAGAAAATGCCGACGCCGTCGACTCTACTGTCGCATGTTTCTAGTAACACGTATATAATGCTGAGATATTTGCAAAACTCCGGACCGCAGGTGTATGCGGTGGGTAAAGAACGCGCTATTGTCCTTTCCGGGGAGTAGCGCACTTCACCTCCACACCATCCCAGTTCTTTATTTTGCCTGTCTTTCAGCTATATATA